ATATATATATATATATATATATATATATATATATATATATATATATATATATATATATATATATATATATATATATATATATATATATATATATATATATATATATATATATATATATATATATATATATATATATATATATATATATATATATATATATATATATATATATATATATATATATATATATATATATATATATATATATATATATATATATATATATATATATATATATATAAGAAAAGAAATTATGTCACTATACGATCGCGCACTTAAAGTACATAAAAAGTTGTTCTCCCTGATCTACATCGTGGATCAAAATAATTATCGTCGCAACAGCGAGTTTATAGCTAATATATTTTTTTAATAATTTAGAAGGAGAAATCGAAAGAAAAAGAACCGGAAGAGCTTTTTCATTTGTCTTACTTATATATGTGTAGCATCGTTTACATCGTCAACTTCGCAGTGGGAGGGGGAAAATCGCGTATCGTGCAACAACAATTGTGGATTTCGTCGTGTTTTTCAAGACTCTGCAAGGATATTTCGTACTCCCAATAGAAAGTCGATTATAATCATATTTGGCATTGAAAAATAGGAAATTGCGTTAAATACTGACCTTGCATCAAGTTTTCGTCTACGTAGAATCGATTTCGTCTACAGTTCTTCTATGAAACAATGTTAGTTGCGTAAATCTTAAAAATCAAATTGGCGAAGAAGTAAGACGAACATTTTTATGAATATTTCTATATCACACACACGGATAGAAACTATATGATTGCTTGTCATATGATATATATGATCGAAAGAGAAAATATATATAATTCATCGCAAAAAAAACTGACAAACCGTACATCCGTGCCGGATGCAGGAATGATGTAATCGTTACAAAGCCAGCGAAACTCAATTGGGGCAATATTGTGTGCCGAGATTGCAGGACAACGGCCGGTCGCAAACTGGGCACGGCTCTGGAGAGTGTATAACGATCACCGCCTAATGATAATTCGAGATATGGTCAAATCAGAGAAAGTTTGTAAGCTGATTTTCACACACGGAAACTCTTGCGCCACGTAAAAAATATTTTTTTTCTGTTATTTATCTATTAAAGTAAAACAAGTGATAAGAAGAAGAAAATAATTACGTAGAGAATAGAAAATATGTAAGAAAATGGCTGTCTAGTAATATTGATTTTAATTTGAGATCCTTAAGAAAAATAAAAGCACAATTTTGATTGTGACTAAATTTTCTATTCTCCTATTATAATTATAGATTCTAATAGCTTAACTTTTTCTCAATTACCTTCAGATATAATTTTCACCAGTGCGGACGTGTTACTCATATCTCATTTAAAATGATTATACGAGCAAATTGCAGAAAAAGACTATCTTAAGAGAAGGAAAGTCGAACGTTGTTGTTGAACATAATTAGTTGGGACTCGGTTTATGTAAGGCTGTCTGTAAGAACTATACGTATATGCGTTATCACTCGTAATGTGAGTTATAAGACATGGGGCAGTGGAAAGATACATCGGGAAAGTTTCGCGGATGAATGAATTGTAACATATATAGTAATATCTGTTATATACGTTGTATTTATAAAAGAAAGAATAACATATATAATAATAATAATATGCAAAATAGAAATTCAATATGTATTTCAATTTTCACTTAAAATACTGCCGTTTATATATAATTATAGCAGTTTTTTTTTTCTTTCTGAAAGCTCTTATAGCTAAATAATTAAGCATTTCGAAACCATGTACTCCATTAAATATAAAAAATATAATTTTTTAGTTAAGAGAAAATAATGCGATGCGATATGATAAAGCTTATTGCTAATTAAACAATTTGTTGCGCTATTATAAACGAAGAAATATAACGATATCCCGACAGAACGTACTTTCGTTATGCTTTCGCTTTCAATAATACCGTTAATCGTAATATTGAATATGGGACAAGAATTACCCCGAACCGAGGCCGGAATTAGAATTTCATTTTATTACCTTGCACGACAATATTTATCACATCCACTCGTATGTAATCCGGTCGATTTCGGCATGAAAAGGTGAAAGCAGATCGTATGGAATAATCCACAGGGAAGTCCCGTATAATACAGACGAAAAAGAAAAAAAGTGACGATATCTCTCACAAACGCGCACGCGTGTATTCTCCATGTATGACCTTATATAATCTGGAATTGAGTCTTGATATCGGATAGAATTTAAGTATCTATTTATACGAAACATACACCTAATAAGATTATCGATACAGTCAGCTAATACCATTATTATGCAAATTTAATTCTGAAATATTTTTTGCAGAGTAAATTGCGCCAAATTATAAAACGATAAGACTTATTATTAGTATAAGTCTTAAGGAATCTTCACTACATCTTATATGTCAATTTATAGAATCTTTATGACGTATTTTAATGCTTATGTCATCCAGTAGAACGATGCTAAATCCGTTATTACTTGCCGAATGCGTCGAGGAGAAACTAAATTTAACTATAACATAACTGTTGTAGACGAGAAAGTAGCAGTGAACTTTTAAAACTTTCCACGTGAAAGTGCAAGTAAAGATGCAGTGATTAATAAATTGGCCGTGTCATCGTTCCAAATCGTCCGAGATCCTAGAATGTGAATTAATGAACAACTGTTTGCCAGATACTTCTTTCTTCTTTCAATAGCTATCTTTCGTTTTATTCTCGTTATAAAATGATTCGGCTGCTAATTGTTTTAAAAATATAACGACGGTTGAAATATTTTGTAATCGAATAATAAGAACTGTAAGAGAGCAATAGCAGAGAATCAACGTTTATTGCACAAGTATTAATCAGGTAAATTTATCAAAACGATCTCAGAATTCAATGTCATAGACAGTAGATTTGTACAAATTTTTTTAAATCTTTATTTTTTTTTAAAGACCACTCTAATTCGCACAGAAAATTATATAACTGTATTATAACTATATTCAGCGCAATATGGGGGAAACTCGTGATATATCGTAAACAAATATCAGATACACAGATTACATTATATGGAAATTAACTAACGATAAGTCACAATGAAAATTTCTATAGTTGAAATTGCCGAGAACTACGACGCGCTTCGTCATACCGCTTTTTCACAATAAATGTGTAAATGTGCTAATGTAAGCCGATCCAACGGCGCATAACGCGCTCGTTGCAACAGTCTGCGATGAAGACCTGTCTGTCTCTACCCGGCCCTGTCAATTAAAGCCATGCCCATCCTCTTCCTGTGTTCGCTTTCTGTTAGCTCGCAACAACTTGACTCTCAATCGCGCGAAACAATGTAATCGCATTTTCAGATCGAATCCTGTCGAATGGAAGCAGGGCGTGCCGTTATCGGCGAAGCTCATTAATTAAGCTCAAATTCACGCATAGACTATCCCAAAATCAATAAATGTTCCTTTAATTAACACGAAACTATTAATTCTAGCGATCATACGATCAGTGACCAAGTGCATAGTCATATAACTTGCCCTTGACATAATTTTGCTCCTATTATTTTCTTATTGTTACGTTATGAGAGATTTCTCAGTGCGCAAGTAATTATTACAGGTGAATGTGTGTGGACAAAATGATAGACAATCGCGGGAAAAATTAAATCAATTCATCTGAAAATAGTATTTGCAATACAGTATAAAATAATTTATAAATGCATAGGGAAAAGCATTGTGAAATATTTATGTATAGAAAGGAATTATTATGTAATACATATATAATATATACAAAAAATATATAAGACACTTATGCATAAACCATATATTTTAACCATATATCTATAATTAAATTATTAATAAAAAAACATTAAAATGAATTGCAATGAATCTTTGATGTATGTCAGAGTAATCGATCAAACGTGAACAATAGTATATAAAGGAACTTATTTCAATAATGCATAATGCAAAATGTAAAGTTATAATAAAAGAAAAACGCGCAATATAAAGATTTAGAAATATTCTGGCAATATCATTTTGCTCTTGGGTGTCAGTGTTATCGACAACTTAATTTCACGCTTATTCAAATTTATACTAAAATTCGCATTTTTTGTATTTCGAAAAATATTTACTCTCGATATTAATTAGATAAGATGCTTAATGTGTGTGAACAAACTGATTTTAATTATCGCAAGTGCAAATGAATAAATAGATGGTTTGGTTTACATATATAATATTTATTCTTTCGGCTTGAAACACAGATTGCGTGAATAAACAAGAACCCGGCATTCAGGAAATAAACTTTGCTAATGATAACGATACAGAGGAAACTGATTGGATATAAAGATTTCTTTCTTTCTGTTTTTCATTTATGTGTTTGTGTTATTTTTCACACACATACACATACATACGATAATATATTAATTTACATACGGAGGAAAGTTAATTTTTTCATATTTTCTTTTAATACGAAAATAGATTGTTTAAAAAAAATGAAAAATGATCAGATCCTTAATTAAGGCAAGAATTACCAGACTTGCTTGAGGTTTGTCTCTAAAAGCGAGAATTGGAATATATGCGTCTTTTGATACCTTCGAAAAATCATCAGAGTTATTAGGCGAATATGTTTCGATAGAAAGTAATACCATGTAAACTCCGATTTAAATTTCGCGCGGAAATATAATTCGGAAGAGGTAAATCACACTGAAGCAAGTCGCAAATGAGATCAACTTCACGATATTAGAAAAACACGATGTGAAAGAAGTAACGCTTTCAAAGTGGCGCGTATTTTAAAGCATATGTCTAAATCAATGCAAAAACCGCTCAGTAGCAATCAAACGTGATTGGCTCTTGCTTTTAGAACCAACAAATCAACGTCGAGTGTTGACAAGACAACACAACTAAGCGCTTTCTCTGCCGAACGCGGCCACTATCTATCAATGATGAATCTGTCCATTTTCAAAGATCTAAAATTAATATTCTGTACAAAGAAAGTTTGCCTTACAAATGTATATGATTGATATATTTATTTATTTATATTTATTATTAATAAAACTATTATTAAAAAACCTTTTCTTTAAAAGGTTTTAAAAACAGATTTACATGAAAAGAGATATTCAATATAAATTTTCACAATTCGTCTAACATAATTATTATTTAGCGGGATAACTAATATAAATAATGGGTTATTCATTTCAGCTTTCATTATTGGAAAATATAGTTTTGATACATAACGGAAGGGTTGATCAACTATCGGGCCGCTTCCTATCGCGAGAATTTGAGAAAGCGTACGCTGCCGACAGACCGGCACATTATCAGGTAACTATATTTCGACAAGAGGTAAAACGAACTGAAGTCAGCTACTAATGCAATTTTCAAGATGTGAATTTCCAAGCTTTGATACCTTGCCTCGATATTAGGCAAACATGATTTGACAAGAGGTGCAAGCATATACGCACTGTAAAATTGGCGCGAATTTTTAAAACGCAATGCGGCATATAGAATATTGTATCCTTATATATACATACACACACACATATATGTATATATATATACATGCACGCGCGACTATCTTTTGAAGACAAAAAAATGTAAAAGTTAACAAAAATTTAGACATTTAATTAATTTTCAATTAATAATATATATTTGATACAACTATTATATTTGATAATTATATATTCAATAATTTCTTTCATAATGTTCTATTTTCGAGAGAAAAATATTATAAAAGGATTTAGAGCAGAAGGAAATAATGGATATTGATGAGTATTTGTCACGAAATCTCTTTATTCGTGATAAAATCGTCTTTCTTCTCTCTATACTAATTTTATTACATCTAAGATACCAAAGCTAATGTGTATGTGTGTGAGAATGTATGTATGTATACAAACACAAATAAATTTACTGTGACATTTCTGATAGGCCCTGTCGTTTTAAAATTTGTCCATCGATAATTTCGCAACTCGCTACATACAAATTATATACATAAACTTATGTGTGTATATGACATTATATATACATTGTTACATAATGTACATTGATGACTATGATTCAAAGTGATCTAGTCAATATACTATTATACAAAAAATAATTACATTAATGGAATTTTGTAAATGTTTTCGGGGTCTAAAATATATGCAACATAAATTCCATCGAATAATAGTTCTGGTTTCTATATTATTCCATTTAAGTCTGGTTACATCAATTTGGCGCGAGACACTACTGTATCTCTTGATGTTATTTTGGCTTTAAACGAGACTCAAAACTTTTGGCAATAACAAATGTTATTTAACTTTTGGTTTTAAATAATAAGTTAATCAACGATTAAATTATAGTCTAAAGCCTAAAGCCAAAAGCCAAATAATATTGGTTATTGCCAGAAATTTTAAGTCTCGCTTAAAGCCAAAACATTGGTGCAACCGGGCCTTAAACAACAATCATCACACATTATACACGGAAATGTATTTCAAAAATTTGTCTGTAAAATATAATAGCTCTGTTATCTAATTCAGTTATTTCCATAGATTATCGAATGAAAAAAAGGAACAGAATGTATGATAAAATACAGATCCAGAATTATATTTCACACTTAACAAAAGACATTAAATAATATTTTTTATTTAATTTTTCTTTCCTCCTTCATTATATATATATATTTTACTATAATTTTCATTAATTTTTTTGCCGTTTTTAAAATGAATGCACTCAATTCTTATATATGCACGTCAATATTAGAAAAAAACGAAGTTACAAGAGACATAATATAACAGAAAATGATAATTCCAAAAGTTTGGAAATGCGTGTGAACATGAATTCTTAAAGTACCTTCTATTTGCAATGCAAAGTTTTTAGAGTATAGATGTTGCACGTTTTATTGTTATGAAAAAATATGAACGTGTTTTTGGAATTTTTATATTACAACTATTATACAATGTTTATTTTTAAACAATGGCAGAGAAATATGTATAATTATTTTGTAATTGATACATGCTATATAATCTATTAAGAACTTGATAGATAATTGAAAATATTTAGTAACTCGTCCAATATATGTTTTAAATATACTGTTGTTTGTATATATCGCATACTCAATTGCGCTAAAAGTTTAAAGTTATATGTCATTAGAACTAAAAGATAAAATTCTTGATGTAATCATGACAACATCACAAAAAGTAGCATTTTTATCGGATTAGAAAGATTTGTGCACATTTTTCTATTAAGTTCTATTTTGAATAAAGCTGCTAGAAAATTTCTAAATGAAAAAATTAATATTATAAAATTGATAGCATGATTATTTTGATTTATTAAAATTAAAAAAACATCATATATTGGACATACTATATATCTCAGCCATACACTAAAAACGATTTCTTTGTAATAATGTTCACAGCCATTTTCTGCATTTCGAAAATATTAATCTTACTTTTATCTTATACTACTACTTAAACAATATAAATTATTATCTAATTATGCATTATTTCCTATATATTTTAAATTTATTACATCTATTTAACAGTGTAAGAGATCATTTATAGTAGAGAATGTAGAGAAAGCGAGAAAAAAAGAGATACATATATGTTAAGAAAAAAATTGTATCATACATTACATTAGAATATAATTACATTACTTAATGCGATACCTGATACAATTATCCTCTTTGGGTCTCTCTTTCTCTCCTTTTCTTCTTTTTTCCCTATTACAAATTACTTTATACTGTTAAAAGTACAAGTTACTCTTGAAAAGCGAATCGTTCTTGCCAAACTTTAGAGCGATGTTTACTTGTTAAAATTGGATTAAGGACAGCCGCAATGGAATTTATACGTCCTTTAAATCTTTCACTATCCCGTGCCATTTCTTCCCATTGACCTTTCCGAGCTGCTCGATATGCATAATTCCATGTTACCATGATGTGAATGATTGGAGTTGGAGCAAAGCTCACCTGAAACGAATATTCACATTCTGAAATTTCCTGTCAATATATGTACAATTTGCATCTAAATATTAGATATTGAAGATATATCTTGTACATAACATTGATTAATTTCTAAACTTATTTAGCACTTCTGATCTCATCTAATTCTTAATTAATTTAATCATGTTTCATTTTGACTGTCAATTTTTAAATCTATTTAGCAACGACTGAACACAGATGTACTGATAAGAGTGAAAGAAATAATTAGAAATCCTTAATAATTATATCGAAATTATTGAATGATGATATCTTGAATTATGATATCAGAAGCGAAAAAATGAAAAAAATACATACAAATAATATGCTGTCAACAAAATCATTTTAACAGTTTTAATAGCCTCTATCATATTTATTCATTTTACATTAAATAGAAAAAAATTTATTATAGTCTTTTTTTAGTTCATTGCAATTTGATATTATTTGACACTTCTGACATCATAATTCAAGATATGAATTTAAACTATAGATAATTCTTAATTACCTTCTTTGTTTGTACTGTTGATTCCTCGCTGTCTTCATCGTTTTCAATCATCGTTTCATCCTCTATTGAGTTGTCTTGCATGGAAGTAGAGATGTTCGTTTTAATATAGCTAAAGTTGTCGATCGCACAGTTCTGTTCCAATTCAGTGTTGAATACTATGCAGAAACTATCATCAGTATCTTCGGCACTTTCTGAGAATTGGACCAAATCTTCGTGCATATATCTTTTGTTATTATAATTTTTGCAGTGATCATTATTGATTTTCGTCGAAGAATCAAATATATCATATATTGAGTCTTCTGTTGCTTCTTGCTTTGGCAATTCGTCGTCGCTGTCTTCAAAAACTATAAAACTATCTTCCGAATCGGCGGAGGAACTTTCCGACAATAACCGCGGTCGTAATGTATCTTTTAGCGCATTATACGTTTCGCTATTACAATCCTTGCGGTAATTGCTATTGATCTTCGTTAAAGGATCAACTACATAACGTACTCTAGTCGGATATTTCATTGCTTCCTGCTTCTTGAGAGATTCATTTCCGGTATCTCCGAAAATTATAAAACTATCTTCGGAATCGACAGAACACTCTGACAATAATCGCAATCGGAATAGATTATCATGCGTATTATATATTTCACTGTTACAATCCTCATTAATCTTCATCGAATTAAGAGTATAATGCATTCCGGTCGAGTACTCCGCCGCCTCCTGTTTCGGTGATTCATTATCGCTAGCTTCGAAAACTACAAAATTATCTTCAGAATCGACAGAGCTCACCGACTGAGATAGACTTTCCTCTATATCAAATGTTTTCGTGTTACAATCTCTGTTACTCTTTATCGAAGGATCGATTACATAACTGGTCGGGTGTTTTATTGTTTCCTGATTCTCGAGCGTTTGCGGCTTTCGTTTTGTAGGCGTTACATCGGAAGAACTAAATATTACAGGACTAGTCCGCTTTACGAGCAAAGCACCATCTGGAACATCGTAACCATTTAAGTTATCAGATTCGTCATTTAAAGAGTGATCGTTTTGTATTTCCATAATATTGTATCTCGTCTTGTTCCAAACTGGAATCGGTATGATGGCAGAAATTTTTCAAGAATACCAACTATCTTTTCATCGAAAATGGATAATCCACTATCTGTAACGCTCATGAATGATAAAATATTAATGCCTGCATTTATAGAAAAATCGTGTATACAAGAGGAAAAATCCATTGATATTAGGCACATGAATAAAGTTATTTTCGAAACTATGCAATCCCCTACTACAGTCGTTCCGTTTATCAGGAATTGCCCGAACACTTTGTCCGATTTTGAATGTTATTTTGGCAATGATTTTAATAAAATGGAACAACAAATAATAAAACAGGACAACAAAGATATAACCATAGAAAATCTTATATATAATATGATGAACTTTAATATCACGTCCAAAGATAAAAGCACAATGGAATTTCATTCTGTGTCGAATGTTCGCGAGACCGAAAACTTGAATATAAATAATAATTTTTGTCCTACAGAAATCGATTTACCGAAATGCATAGATATTGATAAAGACACATCAGATATGGATAAGAATCCTGCCTCTAATGATGTTAACGTTAGCGAAGACGCCAAGTCTTTCCTCATAGTTTCTCATTCGGATATACCAGAACTCGTAAAACCTGTCAAAAAAACTCCAATATCGGCACGCTTGTCCGTTATGTGTCGAAATGCTTGGAATAGCCTGACCACTCGATTTTATTGTAGAACGAACTCTGTGGAATCGGAAAAATCCGTCAAGCGCCCGTCGTATTTATTGAAGCGGCACCGTCGGAGACGGGCCAACGCCATTGTGATGGGCAGAGGTCGCGGTAGAGAGAGATGCCAACTTAGACTTTCCGGGGTGAGTCAAATCAGTCATCGGAAGGAACGCACCAGGCGCGATCTCGCCATGATCATTGAAATAGATTACAAGATTTATCGAAACGACGAGATACAATATTATGGAATACAAAACGATCATTCTTTAAATGACGAATCTGATAACTTAGATGACATCTCTGACCTTGCATAGATGTTGTATTGTTTTTTCCACGTAAAATATGATTCATAGTATATATTCTTTCCATTGTGCCTACAGAATGCATCTCTATGTGTTGTGAAGAATGTATATTGGATTCACAAGAAGAGACTGCTGATAAATACGAGGCAAACTTGCTAGAGAAGTCTAGATGCAGAGATCCAAGATGTACATAAATCCCTGGCATATCCTTACTCAACAGATTGGTATTCCACCACTACTTCTCCGTCTTCTTATAAAGTCTTTGTAAGCTAAAAAGAGAGTATACACATTGATTAGAAAAGAATAAAAACACATAAGTATCTGCAAATTTAAAAAATTACATTAAAAGGTGTAAAACACACATATAATAAATTAATCTCTTAAATTATAATAAAATAATAATAATAATAACAATATTAATAATAAGAACTCTGATATAAAAATATAAGAAAAATTAATCATTATTATATTATTTCTTAAATACAATGTTACTTATGGTAAAATTATATAGCCAATAATGTACCCTAAAAAGTCTACAATTTTTAAGTTCATTACAAATTGACGACTCATTTCATACCCGTTTTATATTTCATCATTAGATGTCTACAGTAATTGCATCAGTAGTTGTAAGTAAGTGCATAAATTAGTAATTGTTAGCGCATGCAATTTTTATAAATAATTTATATGCATGCGCAATAAACATATATGAATACAAATGCATGCACTTATTATATAT